AGATTATGTATTGTATTATACACCTTAACACATGATGTCTATAACACAACTGATGCAAGTAAGATGTTTGCCTAATAAAGATTATGTATTGTATTATACACCTTAACACATGATGTCTATAACACAACTGATGCAAGTAACATTTCAACTCGGATCGTTTTGTGTGTGATGCAATCTAATTATTCCAATGAGCTCAAGCATTGGCCAAAAAAACGTCCTATTGGCAGCAACATATAAAAGTATAAAGTATAGTTGAATTCTTGTTGCACATTTTTCTCTTACTTGAAACTCACCATGAGCCATTAAAAATTGAATGAGAATTATCATGTATTTGTCAAGACAGTCTCAAGCCAGTGGTTCCAAGGTAAATCCTTCATTAAAAGTCAACTGTGATTATGAGTTTCGTATGTCTTGAGAAAGAAATTGTACTTACAGTTGAAGTTGTTTTTTTTATATGGAAAATATGCTCAGTAATAGTACCAGTAAGTTGTTAGTAAATGGGCGAGAAAAATAACATTGTATTCAAATTGTGATTGTTGAGAAAAATAACACTGTATTCAAATTGTGATTGTTGAGAAAAATAACACTGTATTCAAATTGTGATTGTTGAGAAAAATAACACTGTATTCAAATTGTGATTGTTGAGAAAAATAACATTGTATTCAAATTGTGATTGTTGAGAAAAATAACATTGTATTCAAATTGTAATTGTTGAGAAAAATAACATTGTATTCAAATTGTAATTGTTGAGAAAAATAACATTGTATTCAAATTGTAATTGTTGAGAAAAATAACATTGTATTCAAATTGTAATTGTTGAGAAAAACAAACTTAACTGCATGCATCTGTTCTCCTCCTTGCCTGTGAAAACATTCACACTTAGAAAATAATTATCAATCTTTTTATAGCTGCAGTTTGAAGTTACCAATTTGGTAGCAGCACAGAAACAGGGTGGCCATGTCTCATCTGACTTTACTGATTTTCCATCTCCTTCATTCTCCAAGGTAGAGATTTTATTTTATTTTTTTATTGTTATTATACATCCCCCTAGTTGGATAGCAGTAAGCTTACAGAATTACAGTGCTAAAATCCAGGGTTCAGTTTCCTGTGATAGACACAGCAGATAGCCCAATGTGGCTTTGTTCTAAAATAAACAAACAAAGAAATTAAATATTAGAAAGAACTACGTTTTTAATATTCACACAAGTTTTTATTGGTTGTACCTAGTAAAACTTTATTTATTTTTACACACAATGTTTCACCAAGTTTACCTGGCATCATCACTGATGAAATTCCGTTCCTAGAAAAAGGTTTCAATTATGCTGTTGCACCCAGAACTCTCCTTACACTTAAATTTCAGACAGGATTTGAAGACAGGTTCAAAAACTCATGTTACAAATTCTTCCAACATCATTCATGAAAGTACAAATAATCAAGATCATTCGTTAAATAACCAAAATACTTTCTCCCAAAGCCTACAGTTACCCATTCTGTCTTTTACCAAAATTCAAGAAAGTAGTCAAATTTTACCTGTTCTTCATGCTTTTCATTCACTTATTTTGCATCTTCTAGACAAACCTAAACTGCTAAAATCAAACATTTCTCCAAAGGAACATAAAGCTTTATTAAAAAGTGATGAAAGTATAATTTTACCTGACTAACTAAGGTAAAGTTGTTCTTATCATGGATCAGATAGTATACCAGAAAGATGCACACTTTCCTTGCTGATTCATCTCATTTCCAAAAAATGGAAACTAACTTAACTTCTTCCAAAAAAAAAAAGAAAAAGAATTAAACAATTTATCATACAATTAGAAAGAACTTCTCAACTTTCTACTGGTTTATATCAATTTCTTTGTCCCTCAGATTCCCGTGCTTCTCAAATTTATGGGCTCCCCAAAACTCACAAACTTAATTTCCACTTATGTCCCATTGTTTCAGCAAACAAAGCTTACAATTACAATGTAGGCAAATTCTTTGCTTGGATGTTTTCTACGTATGTTTCTCATGCATCTTCCTTCAAAAGTAAAATTATGAAATGTTTATCAGAAAATGCCGAGAATTTAGTTATTTTGTTCATTTAGTCGCATTTGATGTAAAAAATCTGTTCACTCAAGTTCTCATCCTTGAAGCAATAAATGTTGCCCTGGAATGTTACCTAAATGATTCTAATCCTTGTTTTTGCCTAAACGTGGATACTATTATGAAAATAGTTTCTCCTTGCTGCCAAATCTTCCAGTTTGAAGGTGTGAATTATATCCAAATTGAAGGCCTAAGTATGGGAAACCCTGTAGCTCCAGTACTTACCAATATATTCATTATAAACATTGAAGACATTGCCATCTCAAATTCATTTTATAAACCAATTTTTTGTTTTCAGTATGTTGATGACATTTTTTAGCCCTCAATAATCTTAACATTATTCACTTACTGTTGTTAACATGTTCACGACATCGTGTGCCATCAGTAGTACATATACATGTTTTCTGTTGGACGTTGTGAGCCACTGGTGGTACACAGCATCCATAAAATATAACTACCTCATATCTCAAAAGTTCTATATGAAGCATTTATTTTATACGGGTGGCTATAATAAAGCCACACCTTCCATCATGTACCACTGGAGAAGCACGGATGCCATGTTGAAAGGACAGCTGAGATAAAACAAATTTACGTGATTAAATCACTTTCTATTTTAAAATTACACCTAGAGATTGGCATTAAATTTTTCATTGTGAGTAATTGAAGTAAAACACTCTTATTGATACTTCTTTCATAAATAACGAAACTTTTATGAATATTGTAATATAATAAGGATAGAACCATTATCATTCACAGTAAGGATTATTTTATCTGATGTCCATTTTTTATGCCCGTAAAATTGTGAAATATTTATAATTCTTCTAACAAAACAGCAAGATTAGGCTGAAAAAAATTAAATGTTATGATCATTTGATTATTATTACTTAAATCATAGTGTGCATCATTGGTGGCACATGACAGCCAAAGCTTAAATGGGTAGACAGGACATCATGTACCACCGGTGGTGAACTCAAGAGAAAGTTCCCAATGCAGTCATTCTGTCATAAAACATAACTTAAAGCCATAAAATTAGCTGTATCTAAGGCAGAGTTTACAATGAGTCTTTATGTTCCTATTGCATAATTAGAGAAATCACTTATGCCCGTGAATGTGTTAATGTAAGTTGTAGCTGTAAGTGATGGTCAGCTTGCAAGATAACTGAAATTGAGGTATCTTGGTTTATTTGATATTTACATCTAATCTTTCAGGAAGGTGTATGGTAGAGCTAAAGTGCTATTAGAAGTGCTTATGCATTGTTTGTTTTCATCCTAAGGCTTTGGCAGAAAAAGATGGAGAACTTGTAGCCAGACTAAGAATTCCATATAGAGGGATCGTTGATGGGAGCCAGAGTAACAAATCAGGACAGACTGTTGCAGTTATGTTGACCATTCAAGAACTTCGTCAGCTTCATACGAAGATGATAAGTTAATTCATGTTTCTTTAAAAAGAAAAAAGCGACACTTGAGCCACACAGCAGCTTCCAGTAGTTGTGCATATTTATTGCCTATAACTATTTTTACGTGTTTCTGTCGCTCTTTATCATAACTAGTTGAAGGTATGGGTATTAAAATTTAACTTTAAATAAAGCTGGTTCACTAGTAATGTATCTGTCAACCACATCATGCAAACACATCTATTTGTTCTTAGCTAGTCTTACCAATAATATAATTTTGTTGCCTTCAAGTCTGTGATTTTTTCGGGCGTGCTAGATATTTGTTGGACTATTTTTATTGGTTCAGAGGAAAGTCAACAATGTATTGATACAATAATATTATATTAATCAGTTCTTAATGTATTTTTCTTGGATTTCACAAACATAAATGATAAATAAAGATTCTGATGGTAAAAGAATTTCACAGTTTATCACCAATTCAATGTATCCGCTTGAATAAAAGTATTTAATGGTTTTAGCTTTCACACAATTGTATGTGAGAAGAATGGTAAATGCTTGCATTGGGAAGTTACAAAGTATTTTAGTTATTTAAAACTTCTAAGAAGTTAGGAAGAAGGATCAGCATATTCATGTTGTACTTTACTTCAGAAACCAGAATAATTTGAAACATGATAATCTAGGTAAACAATGTCATAAGTTGAAACACAACACTCCAAGCAATCAGTGTTGTACGTTGAAACATATCGCTCCAAGCAATGTCATAAGTTGAAACACAACACTCCAAGCAATCAGTGTGGTAAGTT